ACATTCTATGAATGAATTATTGGAGAACCTACTCTCACTTCTACTCCTTGTTCACAGATCTATGCATTTGGGGGATACAAAGTTCATACTGCACCCAGTAAAACAATCCTCTCCTTTCAGAGTGTTGTATCCCAACTGGTGACATACTGAGTCTTCAATAAACCATTCTATCTTCAATTAGGCCAGCCACTTTCTGGGTTTGGAGGCATATGGTAAGTCCAGTTAATTTTGTGGCCACACATTTATTGCTGCACTTCCTGTACTGTGAAATGACTTCCTTGTTCAGATCCAGTGCTCAGCAGAGTGCCATGATGGCAGGGTCTGAATCCACAGAGGCCGATAAAAGCTGGAAAGCAGGGAATGCAAATCCATACTCAGAATTGTCTATTCCAGTGAGCATGGATTTCTGCCTATTCTATGATGAAAGACTGGACATACTCAACCTGTTACTAGTTGGAGCACCTGGAGAATGGATGCACCAACCCAGCTGGTGCCTGAGTTTCAATATAGGTCTGCATTTAGCATTAGCCAGATCAGTGTTAGCAAGAAGTCAATGTTTTAGAGTCCATTCATACTCTCCATCCTTACCACTTTTTTCATGAGCCCAGAGAGCCAACACTGAGATGCTTAAGACAAACTAACTGACGCCTACCATTTTATTCATCTTTCAACATCCTCTACTGCCCTTTAGTGGGCATTACATGGGACACCTATCTTCACAATCTCTGGTCACTCAGAGAGGATTTGGAATAGAAAATAGAAAAAATAAAATAAAGGAGGAAAAGCTAAGGAATGAGAGAAAGGATGATAAATTCAGATTAGGATATACTGAGTTTGAGATTCCTAGGGGCTTTCAAGCAGACAGATAGGTTCTTCTGCCATTCAGGAGAGATACCTGAATAAAGAAATCTGGCTGCCAATGATGGAGAGGCAACTGTGGAAACCAGATGGGGATAAAAACATCAGGAACAGCAAAGAATCTGAAGAGTTTGGGAATGAATTTGGCAGAATGTCTGGAGTGGGCTGCCGAAGAGAACATTGGGAAAGGCTGAAAGGAGCGGCTAAATCCAAAAACCCCAGAAGAGGGCAGCAACATGAAGACAGAGGTAGAAATGTTTAATAAAAGTGGGATTTATTAGGGAGAAATTAAAGGATATAGAAAGAGCAGTTTCCATTTGATTTGGCAATAGGAGATCACTGATGTAAAGAGATGTTTCAGAAAAAAGGTAGAAGAAGCCAGATGATAAAAAGATTCATGATGACAGCAACACAGGGCAGCTACATCATTGAACTGAGGCCACTCATTCAAAATAAGAGCTCTAAAATGAATCAGACAAGAGTTCTGTAGAGTACTTAGAAGAGAACCTGATCTTGAAAAGAATCTTGAAGGTGAGCAAGATCTCAACATTTACAAAATATAAGGGGAACCCGTCCGTCTCTGCAAAAAGAAATGGAAGAGTGAGAGATAATGTCACCAGCAAGGAAGATCCCCAAGAAGGACCAGGATCAATATCTCAAAGTGAAGGGGTGTCTACTTTGATCTCTGAATCCAAATAGAGGGAAAGGAATGAAGAAATCTAATCCGGTTGTCTTTAAACATGGCCTCAATTCAACATCACTTCCTCACTGGAGTGTTCTCTGACCCTTCAACGGCTATAGCAAGTAAAACATTAATAATATATCTATATGGCCAGTAGAAATATGTTTCTCTTTCAAGTTTTTTCATGTCTTTCTAGAATCTACTTATTACTTTTCAAGATCGTGTGTGTGTGTGTGTGTGTGTGTGTGTGTATATATATATATATTTGGCAACTATTGTATAACAATCACTCTAAGATAAATGTTTCCCCAATTATTATCCTTTGGCGTTCTGGAGATCAACTAGGTGGGTCTCACTTGGGGGTCCCTCCCTCACATCTCTGAAGCTTGATATTGGCGCTTGGCTGAGGACCTCAGCTGAATTGGCCTCCAGAATACACTGATATGGCTTTTTCCATAGAAAAACTTTCTCAGAGGATGGTGCCTGGGTTCTGAGAGCAAATGTCCTCAGAAAGTGAATAAGGAAGATGCTACACCTTTTATGGCCAAGCCTTTGAAATCAGGCAGAATTATTCTGGCACATTTTATGTATCAGGATTAAGTCATAAGGCCAGTCATATTCAAGGGGATGGAAGTTTAGACACTTTGATGAGAGGAGTGTCAGAGTCTGCAGATATCCCAAACATGTAAATGCTAATTAGACTCCTGTTTTAAGCATTTATTACATTTTGAAAAAGGGAAGGAAAAAGAGACAGTGGCACAGAGGCTTAAAATGTTTGAATAGAAGTCAGTGACAATTCTAAAGAGTCAATTAAACTATAAAATATGCTACTCAGGGCTGTTTGTTTTACAAATGAGTGTTGGTAATCTTACAAACTCCTTGAAGATAAAACTGAGCTGTTGAGGAAGGTGTTATAGCTCAGTGCTACTACTTTCAAGTGCATGAAAATTCCTGGGAATCTTATGAAAATGCAGATTCTGGTTGGGTAGGTCTGAGGTTGAAGCTGACATTCTGCACTTCTGGGAGTTCTAGGTTGATGCTGTAGCTCCTGTGATCGGCAGAGGCACCCACTGAATAAATAGCAAGTTAGTAGAAACAAGAGTGACTGCCTATCTCCTGTTCTCTCTCCCTTCTCCGGAAGGAGCCCCAACAAATAATATCCCACCAGAGGTTCTTTTGTGCATATAGGACCTTGGTCCTGGCCAGGTGAAATCCTCATAGATGTAAGGTTACTCAGTCCTTCCAAGAGAATTTTAGAACTGAAATGAAAGGAAGACTAACTTTCCTGCCTTGTAATAAAAGCAAAGGATATAAAACTCTGCCGTTAGCAGCCATGTGAAAAAGCCTGTTTCCAGGAAGGGACAAGGGAGTTCACTGGGAGAAGAGAATCAGGTGAAATTCCAGTCCCCAGTGTGACTTAGAACAGAAATCCCCTCACTACCAAGATTATACAATATATCTTAATATCGCTCCAGAGAATTCTTCTTTGTCTAAATTTGTTCCACTTGCATTTTCATCATTTGAAACTAAAAAGAGTCCTAACATGGAGTGGGGAAAATGCAGCATCCACTGTCTTGAGGTCCTGAATTATCCAAGCATCTGGGATCTGGAATGAAGACAGATCGTCCATTAAATCACACGAAAGGTGTGTTTACAACAAAGTGGACAGGCCATGGAGAGAGAAGACACTAGAAAACTAAGGTTCAGGGAAGGTTGAGGAAAAGTTCTGCTACCTAAAATCGGGGGGAGGGGGAGGCACAAACCTTCCAAATAAAGAGAGGCAACAAAGTCAGTGGATTGAAATTGTTGGATAGTGTTAAAAGAATGTGGAAAGAAACTGTTATCAAAAACACCTGCTGAAAAGAGAAAAGGACTGTCCCAGAGTAGCGAGGCAAATGTTCTTTAGGAGCATCCAGCCCCTGTGCTGAGTGGATGTTAGAAGCAAAATAGGTAGAGTCCTGTTCAGCAAAAAAACAAAACACTGACTCTGTTCTATAAACTAGGCAGGCCATGTATGGCATGCCTCACATGTATGGCTTTATTTAATAACCCTTAAGAAGGTGTCCGCCCTTGCTTATGGTGTTGTCTGTAAAATCCTAGCAGTCAGACTGGCCCTTCCACACTCAGAAGAGGAAAAAGTGAATGTGGACTGACTCCCCAGGACTGGTATACCGGAGGCAAAGCTGAAAGTCCTCACAAGTCTCTGAGAATGTGAGCAGCAAAGGTGAAACAAGAAAGACAGCACCACACTTCCGTGTTTGGAATAAATGAATTTTTAATAACCAGTTTCTTGGTTACACCCTCACTGATACCAATTTTAACAGTCCACACAGTTAAACCAAAATGTACATTTTAAAGCACATTTCCAAAACAGTAAATTTTTTGTACCAAAAGGAATAAACAAACAAACAAAAAAAAGCCTGGTTACCACTATCAGGGTATATTGTCCATGAATTGAAAGACTTTTCTATTTCAGCAGCAGGTACATGTGAAATAGGGCAGGTAACAACAGAACAGCAATCCTGACATCCCTTTCTTCATGGTAAATGCCTTTGGGTTGAATCGGAACAATAAAGTAATGAGGCTGGATACCATAAAGAAAAAATGGATACATCTCATTATTTTATAGTCATACCTTGTGGTACATTTATAAAATATTTCTTTCACATGTACAAACAATCTACTACAGGTGGGCTTAATTTTGATAGAATCAACTGAAAAAGGTTCTATGTTAATGCAACATTCATCGTAAAGATTCCAAAAACACATGAGTCAAAGTTTCAAATGATAATTCCCACAGTAACTGTAACTCTGCTATACAACATACATAATGGAAGAAAAGTTATCAACATATACCATAGTAGAAAATACTCAGTAAGCAGAAGCAAACTGAGTTATGCTTGCTGTGGGAGTCATCACTTTCAACTAGCTGAGAAAATATAAAAATTGAAACCATAAATGCATGCATTATATTTGTATTTAATTCCAATTTTTTGATCCAATTTAATCAGCTTTGCATTCAAACTACACTTTCCTTTCATAAGCTGCATATAAATATCTTTTGTAATTTTAAAATTCACATCATTTGGTTTCTTTTTTTCACACAGGCTGCCTTTGCAGGATGGCATCATTATACCCTGGCCCTCCCTGAAATGTCAGGACATGTCTGCTGGGATCTATTTATCTATATTTCTTTTCTCCCTGAAGGACATGGTGGGGGAGGAGAAAGAGAATAGCAAGGAGAACAAGAATCACATTGAATAGCTTTAAAAGATAAACAAGTAGAACAGAACAGGGGGGCACTGTCACCATTAACTCCCGCCTTAATATCTTCCTAAGCAGAAATAAAAATACCACCACATATTTACAATTCCCAAAATCTTTAGTCATAACATCATCTCATTTGATCCTCACCACAACAACACTATGAGAAAAGGGAGGAACAAAAACCAAAACACTTCTTTGTTGTTCAGCTCTTTGTGGCTCAAGGAAAATACATATAAGGATGTGCTTTTATATTATCATTTAAACTCTAAGCCATTTAATTGCACTTAAAATATTTCCTAAGTATACCCACTTACATATGCACAGGATTTGCTTATTATTAAAAGCAGAATATACTTTATGTAAAAATATTATGGTTATGAGCTAAACTTTAACATATTTTAAGCTTTTTCCTTTAACTATATTCTGAAAATTCAATAGTGAAAGAGAAAAATTTAATTGCCCTTTGAAACTCTGTCTAGGCAAAATTAATCCTGTATATTATATCCAGGATTACTTTTCCCAGTTTGGTTTTAACTAAGAAGGGCACCTTCTATAGCCTCTGAAGAGGAATCTTTTTACTTTCCAGCAGCCTTTACCATTAGGGTATGTTTCATTATATTCAGGCTAAATTACTTTGGCTCAAGAACAATCATAATTCCTTTACCACACTAACTAGCTCCACCCCACCATGGTGCCTATGACCTTGTGGGTATGTCTGGAAGGTGATATGCTCAAACTTTGTCTTGTACCACTAAGATGAGGTTATTCCGATTTAAGTTTGTTTTTCCTCCTTTCTAGGTACAAAAAGATCCTTCTTTATATAAATTAGATGTATTTTTTCTTCTTCATTTATATAATGTACCAATAAAAAGATCAATTAAAATAAACTCAGCCAGCAAAAATCTCAAAATTATTTGTCCTAACTATCCTTTGCCTGTGAAAATATAACAATTCTGCATGTAACTAAAGTACAATATTTAACTGTTAAAAGGTAAACAAATTCTTAGGAATATTAAGAGGTTTTATTATGAAAGAAGTTTATCTTCTTGATCTTACTTGTAACTATAAAACTGATCTTTGCAATGAAAAAAGATTAACACATAAATTCTTGAACAAAAACAGATAAAACACATAAAAGTTTCCCTGGGACATGAATACTGAATTTTCAGTCATTCCCCTCCACCCCATATACAAAAGTTTGAAAAGAAAAATCAGTGTCTGACATTAATCACAAAGCACAATCTCAATACTATTTCCAGTCTTAAAGAAAAACGTGAAGATGGCTGGTAGGCTAAAAATCAGTGATAGAGACAAGAGCTCTTGCATCTTATCAAAGGCCAGGAGAGGGGTGATATATCTGTCAGATAAGAAGGACCATAGTGTGTATGTTTCCATGAGAGTCATCTACTTTAGCGTACTGTCCTGAGGGAAAGGGTAGATCTAGCCAGTGGGCAAGACTTAGCTTAACCTGAATGAAATAAAGTCCTTGTTGACCTTCTCTTTCAAGGAGAAACTTGAAGAGGAGGTGATCAAGTCTAGAGAATCACAATATGCTTAGAAATGAAAAACAATAATGTATATTTATTTGGGAAGTCAGTATGTGATTTACAAAGGTTGAAAATTTCTCAGATCAACTACTGACAACAAAAAAGTCCTTAAGATTGTCAGTATTATAGATAAAGGAGCTGATTTTTCATTTTTATTTATAATTAAACCTGCAGAATTTCTGGAGTAACTGATAGCAAAATAATAATACAGGGTGCCGGTGGGGCAGAGGGGGTTATGAAAGATGGTGGAATGAGATGGACATCATTACCCTTGGTACAGTATGACTGCACATATGGTGTGACGCTACATTGTGTACAACCAGAGAAATTCAAAGTTGTGCTGCAATTGTGTACAATGAATCAAAATGCATTCTGCTGTCATATATACCTAATTAAAATAAATAAATTAATAAAAAAATAATAATACATTTAAGAATAAACCAAAGGAAAGCTCTGGAAACTACCTAAGGTAAGTGGTCCAATAACAGAAGACTGTTAAATAAATTGTTATAAACTCATACAAGGGATATTATGCAGTCATTCACAATGTTTTCTTGAAGAATATCCAAGGAAAATGAAAAGGTAGATAATATATTATAAAATGAAAAGTTATAAAATTGAGTATTTTATATGAACTCTACTTTGGGAAAGATATATGCATAATTGATAGAACATACACAAAATTATTAACAGAAGTTACATCATTTACTGAGAATTTAATGTCCCACAATTTTTTCTTTTCCAAAAGAAAAGAGGATAAGATTAGAGGAAACTATTATTTTCAAAAAGAATCAATCTACTCTGATCTCTTTGTCCCATTTGTTTCTATGATACACAAAATGAAAAAAATGAAATATATTTATGGCCAATAATCGATTGCATTACAAATATTTTTAAGTTATGAAGTCAATAGTTCATTTACATTTAGTTTTCTTATACTTTTTTCCAATTTACACAAGAGTAATGTATTTTAAAAAACACATAATAACAAATTTGTATCCAAAGTTGAAATTTTCAATATATTCTTCTTCATATGTCCTTCAGTTTAAAAAATGAATTTCATATGCTTGATTCCATAAGTTTTGAAGAAAACCATGATAATGAGTGCCCATAATCCCAGAATAAAACCCCCAGGAGGATGCCAGTCTTTCAGCTTCGGTTTCTGCAAAAGAGGAATAACATTGTCAATTTAACAATAGGCAAATAATTCATCAATGGATAAAGCTAATACTAATGGAAAAGAGAAATTTCACTGTCCATGTTTTAAAGGGAAGTAAGTTTAATCAAATTAAATCCATTGGGAAAGCAACAATGGTAAAGACTTCAAACAAAATAAATATTCCAAAGGGTAAACTGGCTCCTAACAAAGATCCGTTTTAGCTTATATTCTAGTTCCTCAATGGGGCTTTCCTTGATTAACCAATTCACCAACTCTCCTCACTAAAGTTATTCAGTAGTCTTATAGTCCTTCTCACTTTTGAGTTGAGATATTCATTAGTTTTTCAGTTTTATCTGTTTCTCCTAGACTATAGTTCCATGAGGGTCACCTTGTTAATTTCCCAGCACTGACCTACCACAGGGCCTGCCACACAAAAGGAACTTGTGTGTCATACTGAATAAATCAGTGCAAGAACAAATGCTACCCAACTTCAGTCATTCCTTCAGATATTCAACAATCACTTGTCTGGAGGCCAGTGTCTTTGATCATGTTTCTCCCTTGATGTAGAATGTTATGCCCTTTCAAAACTCACTATTTCAAGTAATGCTAACTCCTCCAGATTTTTCTTTGAATTCTCATAGTAACTGATCCATAACTATCGACTTTTACTGCTACCTACTATTCTAGTTGCCTTTATTGTTTATCTCTATGCAATACATCCTAAGGTCAAAATTCATCTGAGTTCATTTTACATGCCCTTCTCCATTCCCCACCTCATAATACCAAGACAGGTGTATTCTATGTTTTTTTTGCCCAGCAAGAACCAGTCTTCTCCACTGAGTTGACTTTTCAACAGTCTAATTATGGCCCTATAACTGGAGACTTGTAACAAAAATCTCTTAATGAGTCTACTTATTGAATTATTGGTCAAGATTATAATAGTTATGAGAATCAACTTTCATCAATTCAAAATTAACTTCTCAAACAAGGGAGCCAATAACACCTTAATATCTTAATTTGGATTATAATATTAGAGTTTTAGGAGTTTTTAATCAAATGCTTAATATGAACTGAATTGACACATAGTTTATAATAGTTATATTCTATCTTCCTTCCTTTGCCTGTTCTCACCTTCTACCACTTCTTTCAGAAAACTCCCCCAAAATATTATCCATTAAGTCCAATTTTCCTCATGTTACTTTCCATTCAAAAGTCCTCAATGGCTTATGGTCATATGTGTTAAGGATGATGATAAAAGTTCTTACCCTCTGCTATCTTTTTTGTTTGTTGTTCTATTTAGTTACACATTACAGCAGAATGCATTTTGACTCATTGTACACAAAACAGAGCACAACTTTTCATTTATCTGGTTGTACATAATGCAAGGTTGCACCATTCACGCAATCATACACATACATAATGTCCATTTCATACCCTCTGATATCCTAAAAAATAATAAATTTAGCAGTTCTCAAACCATTCAAATAGCAGAGTGCCTGGAAGTCACCATGCTTTTTGCGTAACACTGTAGCAAACCTTAATTTCAGTAGAAAATCTAGAGTAATTAACGTAAAGCACAGTTGTATTAAAAATAGGTAATGTAAATAAAAATATCAGAAGCATGTGTCAAAGAAAAAACAAGTATGTGAACCATACAGCTTACTACTCTGTTTTTGTCCTGTTTATTTTCTACTAATCAAACAATTGATAAGTCACATGAAAGCACTAAAAATGTTTAAAAACAAAAATTACTTTCCCACAACCTAAAAAAAGATTACCACTAAACATTATTAGTGGAAGCCCATCTTTATACAACAGCCTGCAGATGTTCCCTGGGAACCCAGCTTAAGAGCACTGACTTAGGTAGGGAGACAAAGTTCTTATTTCCCCTAACTAGGAGGTTCTAATTTAAAAGACTTTTGAAAACACACACAAACACACACACACACACACACACACACACACACACTCACACACACACACACGCTACTACAATAGGAAAATTAAAATAAATATGCTCAAAATTTGGCATTAAAGGTAAACTCTTAACTGAGAAGAACAGGCCATAGACAATTGTTTCACAAACCAAAATAAAGAGCTTCAGTGCTAAGAGTTCAGGAGGTGTTTAGAACAAGTCATGTTCAAAGAAAAATGAACATCATTTAAGCTATCATGAGATTACAGAAGTAATAATCAAGTAGTTAACAGTAAATTGTACTTCTGCATTTATAGAAACTCTTATTACTTCCCAATGAGATGGATTCCCTAGTAATTTTACCACTAGATCTTAAACTTAGCAGCCAGAAATAAGATGACTAAGAAAAACAACATTATTGGAAGTAGTCATTTCTCTGAAGACCCAAGAATAAGCTCTGTCAGCTACTCTGACCTTTTATTCCAAAACTGGTTTGGAGAATTGTGGATGCACTCTTCCTGGTCCTTCAACCTCCTTGATAGTCATGTGTCTCATCCACACCACTGATGTCCATGAGAGACCCACAGAAAAAAGCAAAGTGCTACAGCTAAGTTTCTAAGAGCAAACTCTGAAAGTAATAATGGAGGACTAAGAAATATATATAATTACAAAAATTATAATAAAATGGTACATTTACTCACATTGTAACAATATATGCCAACAAAGCAGCAAATCTTAGTCTTTCAAAAACTATTTACAGTTATCACTTTTATTGCTGTATCTCCATTACATCTTTTTGATGAAGAACAATGGAAAATGCATTAGTTGAATATACTTTGGACTCAGTTTAGGAAGGCATCTCATTTAGAATCCCTCAGTATAGCCCCTCCCATCTTCTCACAATTTGTACAAAGGCACAGAAAAACATGGTAATATACCCTACTAAAATTAAGTTAACCTTTAATGAGAAACCTGATAGTTTCACTATCTGAAAGTCTGAAAAGCCAGGTCTAAAATCAAGTTAATAGTTGGCCTAGTTTTCTAATTGCTACATACCATGCAAATTATTGCTTTACTCAAAGAAACATAATAATTCTGCTGCTGAAAGAGACTTTAGTTCACTCCTTTTTTCTGCCTGCAGTTTGGGAGCCTTCCATATAGTAAATAGATTAGTTTACTATGTAGCCAAGTTGTGGAACTCATTCCAGCCTCCTCATGGCACACCTCTTTATACATCTATTTAAATACAATTCCCAGTAAACAACATGACAGAGGTGGAGAAGCACTAAAAATGGTTTGATGCATCCTAGAAGTTTCAATGTTCACAAGAAAATCTCTGCAGAGAGGGGAAAATATAGGAACAATCTTGTAAGTAGTGTGTGTTAAGAAATATTTTACCTTTTTTAAAGTGCCCCCGAATCAGACATAGTGGTAAGGCAGCATTTGATCCTAGTTTAGTTCAGCAGAGTCATATTTGATCACTACCTGCCAGTTACTGGGAACAGTATCACAACCTATCAAACACAGATTAGAGAAGACATTTGTATCTCAGTGGACAATGAGAAGCATCCACACACTGTTGGCAAATACCAAAATCACCCAAAGAAAAACAAAAATCCAAGGTGGGCTCTAAGGAGGAAAAATACTCTTATACATGAAGGAGAAATTATATCCTGAAGATGCAAAGGAAATGTCTCTGAATATAATTTAATAAGGAACCAAAACCAAGATAATATTATAAAGAGAAAAAGAATACAAGATACAAAAACACAGGCTAAAATTAAAAGGAAATTCAGTATTATAATAGCAAAACTAAAATCCACACAGACTAGGGAGGAACATGTTCCCAGAACATCTTTGAGTCTTTCATTTACCCTATTGTGTTAGACTGATGGCAAATTTGTCCCTAATTCTCCATGCATCTCTGTGTCTATATCTTTCCAACATGGTTCCATAGAAGCTTAAATCAAGAATCTACATCCCTACCTCCTTGAATAAGCTGGTCTAGTAACTTCTTTTGGCCAACAGAATGCAACACAAGTAACAGTCCATTCCAAGTAAAGCCTCAAGACGCTTTTATTGCTTCTGCTCTTTCTCAGACCTATGAGAAAAAGCCTGAGCTTCCTGAAGAAAAGATACCATGTAGAGAAGAACTAAGGTCCTCCTGGCCAATAACTAGCCAACTCCCAGAAAAATCTGCTAACTAATCCAAAGTTGACCATAGGCTCAAGAGAAAGCAAATTGCCCAGCTATATTCAGCCTATATTTCCAACCTCCAGAATCATGAGCTCAATAAATGTTTTAAGTCACTAAGTTTTAGAGTGGTTTGTTATGTATCAAAAGCTATGACATATATCAAATGAGGTGACAATGTGGAAGGCAAAACCTTGATTCTTAAAAATCATAATAAAACAGAAAATGTTCCCATATACGTTCTTGTAGCTTTCTGCAACAACAGTATAAATAAGAGTAGTATGAAAGGCAGGTAACTGATCTCCTGTCCACCAGGAACTTTGCTGGAATGAGGAAGGTTTGTCAAGATAATCCCTTCTGACCTTCTTTCAGTGAGGATTCTAGCCTCATTACCAAATCAGCATTAAAGTCCACAACCCAAGTATTTCCACAGGTACCTGACTCATCACTGTTGGACTCAAAGTCATCCATACAAAACACCTGCTGCGCTAAGTTTTGTGAATGTTCTCTACTACTCTCCTCACTAAGGGGATCTGCAATGCTACTCACCCTTACAGTCTTCCTGGAGAGACTCCAGCTGTCACCATGCCAGAAACTGCTCTCAAGGAAATGAAGTGGGGAAATCTGAAACTAACTTACCCAGCTTCACTGTGGCCTCCTTCTCCCGACTAGAGTCTAGACCTTAAGTCCAGTTCCTTTCCTTTTAAAATTACCAATTAGTGGTAATCAGATGTTGCCCCCTGATGGATAAATGTACATCTCCTAAGATCTTTATGCACTTTATCCATGATAAACCTTCGATGCAGTTAATCTAATCTCAGATTAAGGATGATGTTTTTAAGTACGACTTTAAGTTTAATAAAGATTGACTAGAGTTTTCCTTAGACATGAGTTT